TTTTGAGCATAGTATATAACTATGCTCAGAAACTTAATAAAGTATGCTAATACCTAACGAAATTATTAATATACATACGTTGGGGAATAGATAGATTTGGCGACGCAAATAGTATAAGTTTGGCATAAATTAATAATTTTTACTTCTAAAAATATACTTCCTTAGATATATATATCAATAAACTTCCTTGCGTTTTTTTAGGATTTGATTCTCTATTATAACAGAGACGTTGAAGAAATACAAACTGCTTAGGTCCAAACACCCAAATATGTAAAAAATATCCGTCTGCAGCACAGATGCCAATTCCCTATCAAAGTATAACAAAATATATCACAGTATTACGTAATTAGCATTAGCTTTGTAAGTAGTCATGATAAACGATACTAGTGGTGACAAAACAGTTAAGAAAAAGCAATGACTTAAAATCAACCCATCGCTTCTGCTAAAACGGCAAATTCAATTACAGCCCGTCATCGCGCACCGTTTGTCCAGCGATGGACAATGTCTGACGTTAAAGGATTAAAATTCCTTCCATAAATCCTTGACGCCTGCCCAGTTGCCATTGTTGAAATATCTCCTGATATTGAAAGTAACAAATCACTTTTGCAACGGCCCCGGTTTGCGTATTCATTTTTTATAGCTAAGTACTTATTAGTTTATTGTTACGCGTTGAGTTCGTATTACGTTCATATAGGATTGAGTTACTAAATGTTGTTTAGAATAAATATAATATTATGTAAGTTATATTAAGTATGTGTATATAAAAGTTAAAATTATTATTTGATGTAAATGCATATTATGATATGAATACAATATGTTAAAATTGCCACGCCACATACATCATCTACCGTCCTGTCTCCTAATTGGCCAGTTTAGTCTGAATTAGTTATTCGTATGTTTGCAAGTGTGTACACCTCCTTAATTGAAGATGGCCTGGATTGATTTTCGAGTCAGATGAAAAACTACTAGTGCATTAATGTTCCTTTAAATTTTACGGTTAACTTTAAGCATTGGGAATTAGGCCGTAAACTTAAACGTAAGATACCAAAATATGAGCCGAATATTCTTCGCAAACCCAATAATTATTGCTTACATAGACTGCTAATAAATGTTCGCAATTTTTTAACATACATATGTGTTCGATTACGTGGTAAGTCTCTTTGAAACAAATTTATAAAATTCATAGAAATAGGATGGGCAGTGTTTATCTTGCTTATGAAAGATAATAGAAAGAGATTTTCTGCGCGTCAAAATCTTAAACGGTAAGTATGCGACATCAAGATGTATTGTTTGAGCAATTTTCCTCGCACCTAAGACTCGCTCATTCCATCGAGTTCAGAGACAAGCAGATAACTGTGTTGGGTGTCCTAGTAAGTGATACGCTTCCCACTTTCCACCTAATTACAAATAAAAAAGGCAAGAAAAGAACCGACTTCAAAAAACTCTATTAGCAGCAAGACCCGTGTGAGTCTGTCCCGTGACCATGAACGCTGGAAAGGGTTCGAAACGTCGGGAATTACGAAATCAAAATCAAAACGTGATAAAACTAGTTTCATTTAATATGTATAATATTCGCGTATAATCAAAAAGTCAATAGCATTAAAAGGTTAAAAAAATACTAAATCTATTGTAATCAAATCTTACCTAACTAACCTCTAACGAAATTTAACACTTTTTGAAGTCTTTCTTCTATTAGTTTTTTTTCTTCCATTAATTTCTTATGTTACGCTCATCAGCCTGCGGTTCACATACTTATATCTTATTCACATATAATACCATTATAAACAATTATATGATTCCAAGAAATATCTACCATTGCGCTTCTGAATGAAAATGAGAGATTTAAATTATAATTAAATAAAGATCCCTCAAATATGAATACTGAATACTTTCGAGATTTTTTTGATTGCATACCGGTGTTGTGTGTTCCCAAAAATCTTGGAGCCGACACGACGCCGAAAAAAACGTCTTTGGAACCGATCGCGACTATAATTGTATATTGTAAACTATTGAAACTTTCGCATTGACGCAATACACGCGTGATTGGGCACAAAATAATAAAGCGTCGTCAAAGAGTGCCGGAAGATTAGTTGTCTACTTCTAATAGACCTTTCCAAGGACCTATTTGCTCTGGAGGACCACCAAGAAGATTTTGACTCTCGGCGCCGCGGAAGCAGACGGGATAATCCACGTATTATGCAATTTCTCCTTTGTATGTAAAGTGATTGATGTGGCCGTTTTTGTATCGACTCTGGTACGGAACCCGCATTCGGGGCACCGAAACATTTTTCATTAATAAACAATGATTTACCACAGCGGCGACAGTCTTTTCGTACTTTTTATACAAATTTTAACAATGATTTAATCAAGATATTCACTTCGAAGTAGTAGTACTTAAGTCCTCAACAGTGACGTGGATGACGATGGATTGAATTGAGAGTTCTATGCAGAATAATTGCTGTAGTTTTTCAGCGTGCATCGACCTGTGTCATGTTTGAGCCCATTAAGCTCTACCATAGAGCTCTGAAGGCACGTTAAGTTTAACGCTCCTTTTTATCATTTAGGCGTATTCTAACATAAATTTGAATTTCAAAAACTAATAAAATCTGTTTGTTATAAAGGGCCATGACAGCTCAGTCGATTTTAATTTAATACACTCGAGCAACCACCGAACTGATGATACCTTACGAATCTATCTCTTATCCTTTAAACGAGCAATTCTTGTATATATATATATAATCGGAATCTCGGAAACGGCTCCAGCGATTTTCATGAAATTCAGTATATGCGGGGGCCAAAAATCGATCTAGCTAGGTTTCATTTTCAGAAAATGTCCTTTTATCCTTGTTTTCAGGGAATGAAAAATATTATTCGAATACGATGGTAAATTTCACCAAATAAAAAAGGTTATAATAGCTCGGTCGGTCATCGGGCGGCCGCTAATACAGCCACGAAACAGAAGGCCGTGGTTCGTATCACGATCATTTACACATTTATGTTTTTACTTTTTTTCGATTCCAGATCATTGCTTTCTTTATTTTTAATTTTTTGTCGATTTGTTATTTTGTTATTTTCTTCCCTTTTTTTTAAAAGTTTTTTCTTTTGTGAAAAACATCAGTTCATATTTTCTTATTATTACGTCGGTAAGATCGAAAAATATTATGCATATCTCATTAGTCAGTAATTTGTATTTAAATGTAATTTCCAAAACACACGATTTACCAAAAAAAAAAAAACAAACCGAGCAAAGCTCTGTCCTCCGGGTACTTTATAATTTTTATGTAAAATTTGGCGATTCATAAGAACGCGCGAGCGTCTATTTGAATAAAGATATTTTTGATTTGATTTGATTTCAACTTGACCTAGAATCCCGGTGCGAGCACCAATGAAATGATTTAGTTTAAGTAATAATAATAAAATATCTTTATTCACATAGACGCTTGCGCGTTCTTATGAAACGTCAAAATTTTACAAGAAATTAACACGTTCGTAAGTTACCACCGGTTCGGAAAGCAGTTTCTGTTGAGAAAAAACCGGCAAGAAACTCAACAGTTGCTCTTTTTAAAAAAATCAGTTTACAATATAATAGTACAGGTACAATAGTCTTGTTTTAGCCTACGTGAGTATCAACAGTATTAACCCCACACATTGCCGTCGTCAAGACATTCGGCAATAGAATAATAGGCTTTAGCCATAAGTTTACTTTTAATTTTTCGTTTAAATTTATCAAGTGGCAGACTCAATATCGACTGTGGGATTTTATTATACATGCGCACACCTTGCCCCATGAACGACCTGTTTACTTTTTGTAGACGAAACAATGGCGTAGTTAGTTTGTCCTTATTTCTAGTATTTAGTTTATGTCTGTCACTATTCTTTAGATAACTATTAATATTATTTTTAACATACAAAATATTACAATAAATATAACATATAATATAAATATTACAACAAATATAAATATAAGTGCAAATTAATCACATGCTCAGCGGTGAAGGAAAACATCGTTTCTGATACTGAGGTCGCGTGGTGGCCTACTACATACCCTCTGTACAGAGGATGCCCAGCAGTGGAACATGTATAAGCTGTAACTTTTACTTTTTTTATTTGTCATTGAGATAAAGAATGCCAGAAACTGAGAAAAAAACTATTTTTTTTATTATTTCTCAAAGATGTTTTTTATCGGTACGTGATAACTTATATAATTTATCATCAAGTTTTATGATTCAAACACCATTATAAATCTTATATTTGCCATAAATGGCGAAAAATAGAAAGGTAGAAAAGTTAACGCTTTCATAAAAGTACTCGCATTTAAAATTTTCTTATAATGAATTTATGATAGGGCTATTGTCAATTTATTTAAATAATGTTCAGCGAATTATACATTGCGACATATAGGTATATAAGCATTGAACAGAACAAAACCGGCTGTTGAACTGTAAAAACCACGCAATCCATAACGTTTATTTTTTATTTTGGAGTTTTCTGAAACTATTAGCGCCAACTTGTGTTGCTTGGTTTATATACTTCATGAATGGTTCTGTACTACTAGATGGCGTTTAAATCTATTTTCATATTGTAGAACCCATAAAAAATACTTAAGTGAGTGATAAGCAATAGCAAAAAACCAGTTAATAATTTGGTTTGTTGTTGCTTTTATTTACTAGTGCTTGTGATTAATTTACGTGTTCACTATAAGAATTTGATATATTATTATCTGTAATCGGCCATTTTGGATTTTGATAATTTGACTGCTTTTTGAGATGGATTAAATGTAATGTTTATAGTCTACCTGCAATTTTCAAATTAAAATTAATTCGTGGAACACGTCACTCACGCCGGCCTTCCGACGCCGCCACCGCCGCCAACTGTGCCGTTCATCGCAAAAACTGGTCTAACTGTGGTCATACGATCAGCTGTCACGTACCTTTGACGTGTTGAATACAAACAAATCTGATTCTATCGGTATTCGGTCGGTCTGCTATGCAGTTGCGGCGATGAACGGCACGTTTTACGAGCAGCTAGGGGGTGTGGCCGGGATCTTTGATCAATGGGGCACATGCGAGAGGACCGTGATGGCGTGCACCCTTGCGCGGCGTGTGCCCTGGCCGGGGCTGAAACTCGTGCAGCGGGCTGTGGAGGCAGCGCTGCAGAACCATGTGGAGGACGAGCGTCTAGAAAGGGACGCAAACGACGAAACGCTGCTTGCCAGCTTACTTGCGCCAAGGACTGACGAAGACGATGATGAGGGTAAGATCAACTTTGATACGTTTTGTGGAACAGAGTTACCTTGTAAACGGAACACTCGCTTAGGCTGCAATTACTCGATAGTACTATAAGTGTTCCAATACTATGGTAACAATGAAAACATGTTATAAAATTTCACCTTTCATTTTCAACCATATGAAAAGCCTTCATTTAATAGAAGACCTTATGTTTGTATATTCCATGGAAAATTCCTTATCAAATGTTTTATAGAAATTATATTTGCTAGCTCCTTTGCCAGTTTTTCTTTTAAATATTAAATAACCTAATAGTTATGACAAAAGCTAAAAATTATTGCAAAAAAGTAAAGTACCTTATTTTGTACCATACAAATAGCAAACAAAGTTAGCATTGTAATGCAAAGCAATAATTTCTTGACTATTATGTGATTGATTTTCATTCATCTTAATTATGAGGATGCATATTAGTAAAATGTTCTATGTGTGTGAAATTATTTAATGTATTCTTATTTGTAAGATATTGTTATAAAATAAATCTGTAAAACTTTTCTGTATCTACATTCTTATAGCAATTGCTTTTTAAAACATGTCTTAATTAGACTATAATCATCCTGGACTTTTAATTCTTTTTAAAATCTAAAACCAGTTTTATATTGGCATGATATATATTTACTTATTCACATTTTATATCTTAAAAGCCTGTATTTCTAAAAATATCTTAAAACCAACAAGATAGAGAAAGATTGTTCTCTTTGCCCAAATAAAGGATGTCAAGTTTTAATGATTATTTATTTAATCATACTTCACATTATAACTATATTATCAAATACAAACAGTAGACTTGAGTCAATACAAAAAAAATTTGCTTGCAGCCTCAGTTTTAAGCTAGGTCTGGGAAATGTTCTGCTTACATAAAATAACAGACTTGCAAATAAAAGGTTTAACCTGGATTCCTCTTGTTATGCGACGACAACTCAGTGCACTCTTAAAATTGCAGAAAATAGTCAATCACTATATATTATAATCACCCTTGATTCTGATGTCATGTGCCATGTTTCATTGAGATGTTCACTTAAATCTAAACAAAGACAGCATCTTTTCCATTTGAATGTGTTGACAATGTTATATTTTATGTAGAGATATAGATATATTTCATCAAAACTTGGCATTATTTTTAAAAACTATTAAGTCCTCTGAAAATATTGGTCTGCTTCTTCTTATAATTCTTCAATTCAAAAGTTGGTCTGCTTCTTCTTATAATTCTTCAATTTTGGTCTAATAAAAATCTCGTAATCTCAAATGTAATATGATTAAATTATTAGTAAAGTTATAATTTGTATTTTGTAACCGTGCCAAATAAATAAATAAATAAATAAATAAATTACATTCTAAATATTATCTTGATTTCATGTACCTATATAAATTAAAACATAAAACATGCATAAACATTAAAATTATATTTTCCAATGGTATTATTTTATTTGCATACAATTATTGAAGAGAAAGTTATGCTGATACAAAAACAAAATATGATTAAATAATTAACATAAAAATGTAAAATGTCAATAATTTTTATGATTATTTTTTATATGTATTTCTTACTACTGCAATATCTTAATTAAATTAGTTAGGTAATTTAATTATTAAGCATAAAATTTAAAATATGTTGTTGGAATGAATAATGTACTATTATATAATTTATATAACCTATTAAATGAGTATCTTTACTAAATGCATGTTATAGTGTAATATTTTTACCTTATATCTCATTTGCTTGCCAGAAGTACAGATAACAGGATTAATACCAATGTGGAATTTTCTACCAGCCAGCTAGTGAGTTTCAAGTGACAAGCTGCTGTAGGAGTTTTTACTTATAAAATTGTACTGAACCATATAAAAATAATACTGAATCATCACATATTAGTATAAATTATAGTTAAGGCCTTCAGCTTTAGAGATGCTTAAAAATATTCAGGTGGAGAGAGGCTGCGTCAGTTGTTGACATTGTTGCCTCTCCTCCGGAGTGACAATGATCGTGCCAAGAGCGTATACGTTGGCGCCGCGCCTTCTCTGGTGCAGCGTTGCGTGGACGCCCCAAGACGCAGTTCTGCAGCGCTAGAGCTGTGTAGACAGCTGCTCTCATATCTTCTGGTGCACCCAGCCCTCACACACCATGAACAGAGGTAAGTCGCCCAGACCTTGATGCATTTGAATCTCTTGTGAATTAGACAGTAAGTACAGAAAATATACACATCTTATAAAATATGTAGTTACAAGCATGGTCTTGTGTATGTTGTAATTTATAGGTTAGATTTCCTAACGAGTAAAAATTAGTTGTCCCAATGGGGTTTGTGCATGTGTTTTATGCACCCAAAAAAAAAATTTGCAACACAGTATGATGATGTTCAAAGTTCAAGTGAAGATCTTGTCGTAAAACATGAACTGGTTAGTCATAATTGGTATTTAAGAAGATATAACCTGATTACAGGACACTGATGCAGTGGCTACGCTACTTAGAGAATCACATCTCCGGCAACCGGAACACGGAGTCCGTGTGGCAGCAGTGGATAGACCCGTGCCTGCTGCCGGACACGAACATATGGGGCGGGAACGGCGCTTTCAGGCGGACCATCGGCAAGAACGTGGAGTTCCGTGGCATCCTGGACTCCAACGAGCTGGCGCCGTTCTGCGAGCTGCTGCAGGAGTCGTTCTCGAAGAACGGCCGCGACGTGGACATCAGCGCCGAGGGCGAGGTGGCCTTCGAGGCCGCCGTCGCCCAGCCCAAGGCGCAGCGCTCCAACAGCCTCACCCCGCCCACGAGCAGTTTGGTCCACATGTCCTCCTCGGCGGAGAACCTGAGCGACGAGCCGTTCCAGAAGCCGCGCAGCTTCTCGCTGTCCAGCGAGCACAGCCTGGCGCAGCTGCGGCCGATGGGCGGCGCCTACGGCACCACCGGCAGCGAGACCCGCCTCGACGAGCTGCGCTCCAACACCTACGCGGACCACCCCGGCATGTCCACGGTGGCCCAGTGGCTCAAGGGCCTGCGGCTGCACAAGTACGTGTGGCTGTTCACCAACATCAGCTACGAGCAGATGCTGGCCATGGACGAGGAGTACCTCGAGAAGCTGGGTGAGGCCGCCTCGCTACCTCGTTCATCACGTGATCTGTAGACATCGGTGGCAACAACATAGAAGTGAACTAAGAAAGTTTGACATGAGCAAATGCGTCCGCAGGCGTGACGAAGGGCGCCCGCCACAAGATCCTGGTGTCCATCCGCAAGCTGGGCGAGCGCGGCGCCGTGCTGGAGCTGGTGCGCGCCGAGCTGGCGGCCGGCGGGCTGGCGCAAGCCCTCGAGCGGCTGCGCGCGCTGCTGGCCAGCCCCATGCCGCCCGGCTCCGACCTGCCGCCCGCCATCGTGGCCGCGCTGCAGCTAGGTCTGGACTCTACTGTTGCACCAATGGCCAGCAATGGCTACTTTATTTTGTGGTGGTAACACATTTGCAATCCTCCAGGTGTTGCTAAACGCCAACTCCTTTGCCACCTTCTCACATAAAATAAAACTTGACCACCATGATTAGCCTGCCGCCACCCGATATACAACCCATTGTTCTATACTTCAGTTCTTTTTTTTCTCTCTCTTACGATGCAACCGGTACCCATGAATGCTTTTTTTTTATGGATAAAAGGAGGCAAACGTGCAGGAGGCCCACCTGATGGAAAGTGATCACCCATGAACATCCGCAACACCAGATTACTTGCAAATACGTTACCGCCCTTTTAGGAAAGAGTATGCTCTTTCCTTGAAGGTTCCCAGGTCGTAACGGTCCGGAAAGGCCGCCGGCGGCAGCTGGTTCCGCAGAGTGGTTGTGCGAAGTAGGTAGTGCCTCGCACAACGACTGTGCCCTTGTTCCATACTGCAACTTTGATCTTATGTTCCGTCAGCGTCCAAGTGCATGAGCGGGACGGAGGAGAGCGGCGGGGCGGCGGCGGCGGGGGCACCGGCCCCGGCGGAGGGCGAGCCCGACCACATCGACCCCATGTCGCTGCACTGCTGGCTCGTGGAGAAGGTCCAAATCATATGTTTATTTCATTTCTATAGCGCCGTTCTCTGCGCTAGATGAAGGTAGGTAAAGCCACGCAATAGTACTCTGTTGCACAAATGGGCCCTGTCCGGGGAAGCTCCCCAACACTTCTGCATTTCATCTGGTGAGGTGAATTGGTCAAAATGATCTTCTTAATGATCAGAATGATAAATTCAGTGTGTCATGAGTTTAACCATCCCTTTGGCAACTCAAATGAAATATGAAAAGCCATTTGACAGCTGATCAGTTAATTTCTACAATGATCAGTGTTTAAGAAACCGGGAGTGAATGTTTTTAATAATAACAAAATTAGTTTATACGATAAAAGAGAAAGTGGCACCGGTTCGACGGTTGCAGGCGCTGCACCACGAGGCGTTCGCGCGCAGCGAGCTGCAGAGGGCGCTGAGGGCGCTCCGCCACCGGCTGCCGCCGAGGCAGTTCTTCCGCCACGTGGGCGAGCTGCCCTTGCACGCTCACCGCCACAAGCCCAGGTGAATGCCGCTTTGGACTCTTCCTCGTGGAGACGATGACTCCGTGCCACAGTTGCCAGAGTATTGGCTTCGGCATTGTGGGTGTTTGTCCATGTGTAATTTATGTATGTTAAACGTCCTAACAACACATTATCTCACAGTATAGAGACTCCCGTGAGCAGAGAGAGAGCCGTGATAGCTCAGTGTCCGGGCGCTCGCCTTTATTTCAATATACTCGAGCAACCTGAGTTCGATCCCCGGTGCCGGCACCAATGAAGTTTTTAACTTTAAGTGCTGACTTATCACGTGCTCCGCGGTGAAGGAAAACATCGTGAGGAAACCTGCATATTTTCGAAATAATAACAAAAAAAAAAGATATATTTCGAAGATATGTGAAGTCCGCCAATCCGCAGTGGGGCCGCGTGGTGGACTATGCCCTGATACCCTCTGTATAGAGGAGGCCTTTGCCCAGCAGTGGGACATGTATAGGCTGTTACTTTACTTTTTACTTTTTATAGAGACTGACACAATACAACTTTCTATGTACCCTTTTTGCACAAAATAAAAATACAAATGGGGAAAAGATTTGCAACATATGCGTTCTTCTGTAGGGAAAAAAGAGTGATGAGCGATTTGTCCTCACAAAACAATCAATGATGTGCTAGTTATAAGTTCATCAAGCCCTCATTGGAGGCAACCTCCAATCATGTGCAACATACAACCACTCCGTGTTGCCCTCCTCTCTAGATCTGACTCCCAAACTGGATTGACCTTACTGGATAGACTGGATTGATACCTTGAAAAAAATAGATCTCCCTTGTATATAGCTAGTATATTTCAAAAGTTTGAAACATGAATAAATGGTGATGTGAAATATGTTTGCGTTGAATACTTTAAAAAAAAAGTGGGCCCCTGTTACCTCACTCACCAGACGGAGCGCAGAAGTATACTTCCACTTCGGTCTTCTGCGAGACCGTCCCCGTGCCTGTCCATTCGTACAACAGCACCACTGTTGATTTAGCATCAGGAGACCCAGAAAGGCCAAATCCCTATCTGCTAGATGGCGCGCGACTACAAAATCCAGTTTAACTGATACTGTACTGTACTGTACTTTGCATGAATATCAAATTGTTATTTGATTCACAATCCTCTAAAAGAGGTCAACTGTGTTTAGACTATATATACATATTTTCATAATATTTTACAAAGCATAATAATCCATGCGAATTTTAATAAATCCGACGTGATGGGAAGTAGAAAGGTTTAAATTACCAATCATCCACCAACCCTCTTCGTCAATGGACCCGTCCACTTAAAGGTGGCGACACATCTACAACGCTACATGTGATACAAATGTCAATGGGCGGCGGTTATTGCTTCACATCGGGTGAACCGGCTAGCTCGTCTACTCAGACTACAGCTACCGATCGAGCCGAGGTTCAGTCTTCTCGGGCACCCTCGAATCGGAGTACTAACTGGGTATTGAATGACAACCCTAGCGATCCAAGAACTTGGCTGCCTCACAAACCGGTACTAGTAATAACAGCGCGACGGCTCGAGCCGAGGCTCCCTCGGGAGCCCTCTAGCTTAGTCACCCACAATCGAGGTCCAGGCCCCCAGGGCTAGCGGTGGTCGATCCAGCCGAAACATAACTCATTTCACAGATGGTGCCCCCGCGCGGCGCCGCGTCGCAGCTGGGCGCCGCCGCCGCCGCGCGGCAAGTCGCACTCGTACCCGCCCTTCCCCGCGGCGCTGTGGCCGCCCGCCGCCCGCGCGCCCCGCCCCCGCCCCCACCCCAACCCGCACCCGCGCAGCCCCCCCGACGACTACTCGGGCCTGGACGCGCTCTGCCTGCAGATGACCGAGCAGGCCATCAACTGAGCCCCCCCCCTCCGTGTATGTGCAGTGTGTGCAGTGTGTGCAGTGCAGTGACGCCCCAACGGTGAAGCGACCGACGGATCCATCGTTGATCACGTTCATCATTCAGTGTCCAAAGTTCTTAGTGCAATCGACTCCCATTGAGATTCGAAGCTGCCTCTGCACGCTTTAACTGTGCCGTTGTTTTGGTATTTTACGGAAAATTCAACGATTCGCAAGCAGTAATACCGTTGATCTAACAAGATATTGTGTTGCATTAGAGAGTGCCGTCTATTTGAATACTAGTCCCCTGTTTGATCACATAATGTTGACATGACTAATATTGTTACAATGAATTTTTATCGATTTGATGCAATTTGCTACATCTCTATAAGATGTAGTATAATTAATATAAATGAATTAAGTTTTAAATATCTTTTGAAGGTATTCTTATACATGTAATATTTTTTTATTTATGACACACAGTTTTAGTGTTTAATGTTCACACTATAAGGTGGTCATAGTATTGTTTATACACTAACAAATTGAAGCATTGTGTAAGACAAGGGCTACGGGTTTTTTCGACTAACAGTTAGCTAATTGTTTTTATAACCCAGATGTGACACTTTTCCAAAAACATTGCAATTAGAATGATTCATTAGAAATCTATTGTGGAACTGTACCAAAATCAACATTTTTTTTTTTTAAGTTATTGGGTAGCTAATGCAACATTAGGCTGTGCCTTTACCGTCTATTCGGCTGATGATTAGCAGAACTACTTTAAGGCCATGACGCCCTTATGTGTATTTATTATAATTTAATATTTATTTGGACAAATGTGTTCTTGTTTCAGTGTCATAGCTAATTATAATTATATACACCATTTACATGTAATTGGATATTTGGATAATATGGAATAATGAAATTTTATTAAGTAAATGTGTAATATTAGTTACTGCTGCCCTAAAGGCGGCCCACAGAGTCAACAATATCAGATCCATGGCAGGAATACAGTGGATGGGATATTCTCAGGATAAACAACTGTTATAAGAGACCTAAAATCATAGTAGGTTGGAATATATTCAAAATGATGAGGATTATTAGTTATTGCGAATTATGGCGCAAAATTTGATTTATTTTGGTAGCAATATTAGGCTAGAGAGTTAGTACCAATGATCAAATGATGAGAAATACAAATTAAATGTAAGGTCATATTATGGGATTAAGGCACATTATTGTGTGGCTAGCCTTTATACATAATGGTGGGCATAGAGCTTATACTAGTTTGCAATAGGTTATGATTAGGTTTACTTACGACATCGACTAAATCTATATCAACTGCAATGTTTCAGTTGGCTATTGCAGTGTTGCCAATGGGCGTTTTACCCAAAGCAATGGGTATGAAATTAAAAACTGGGATCTAACAGATAACACTGTATCCTACATTTCTCTGGTGCTAATTTGCAACATTGGGTTAGTCGGTAGTACTTAGTTTAGCTAGAGTTGTGTTTATTTCTGACGATAATAATATGTTGGACACCGGGTAACATAGGAGAGCTTATAGTTGATACGAACGCACGTGGCGGCCTAAGTGTATGAATGTGAATTGAAAATGTCTTGGAATGTGTTAAGTTAATACTGCAGTAATAATAGTTTTCTTTTGATATCTGAAGTAATCAAACTAACTTAGTCATATCTTCTAAATTTTCTTTGTTATAAAACTTCCATCCTTTTGAGATTTTTTAAAATAAAATTGTTTTATGGAAGGAAGAAACAGAATTGCAATATTAACTCTTGCACACCATACTTTATGCCCCATTTAAACATTATTCATACAAATGTATGAATTTTACACAATCGCAATGAGACCAGTGATGGTAAATATCTTTTACTTTTATAGCAAATTGCCATACCACTGTTTTTTTAAGCATCTGTTATACATTATACAAAAATTTTTTACATAAGCAATACACTTAAAAGACTACAAGCTGAACATTTTTCAGATATTATTTTGTTGCGTGAATATGGGGCACTGCATTTTCATGAGGTTCAGAACATTGATGTGTTGATTTAGATGTAATTGTTGACTGATTGCATAATTTATGATGTTTGCATGTTCATAGCATTGTCTTTTTATTATTATTATTATTTAGTTTTTAATGACAATATTTAATAATCAGCAATCATTTAAACTGTTTTGACTGGATCAAAAAAATTTGATTGTAACAAGTGCAATTTATTGATTTTTATTTACATATATATGCATATTTGTTGTAAATGAGGGATTACTATGGGGTGTGTTTAATGTTATAAGATTGTTCTATACAAACAAGTGATATTGAGTCGATGAAGCTGTAATGACTACAAAAGAAATAACAGTTTACTTATTGTTTTATTTTCCAATAGCCAAACTTATGCTGTTGATAATTCTTATCACTTTATTATATTTAATGCTTTTATACGCTGTTTTGTTGCTGCTTATTTCCTTTCTATTGTTTACAATAACTGTATCTTGACTGTGATAGACAACAATGAACTAAACTTCCAATCAAATTATGCAAATGTTTGAAAATAAATTATATTCAATTCAGTTTTTTTATTTTTTTTGAATGATGCCATAATTAGCATTGCAGACATAAATCCTTTTGCCGCTCTTGAGATAACCGTGCATGGCAAGACATGTGTTTGTGTAAGTGGTATTTATCGTTAATCAAATTTTCAATTTCATATACTTCTACAGAAGTTTCTGTCAACCCATTAATAATGTGTCATGAGACATGAAAATGAAGTCTGTCTCTTTAAAGTAAAAGTAAAGGAATATACAGATGCCAGAATAAAGTTGTATCTGAAGTCGAAAATTTGTTAGGCAAGCTCTCTGAATGTAGGGACAACTACGTTAAGTCTAATTTAACCCTAAAAAGAAAACTTTTAGGAAGTGCCATTGTACAGACTCTATTGAAATTCTTGGATTTTGTATATAGAACAGCGTTAAATTTTGCGGTCCACTTGGCAGAGAAAGACAAGCTGGCTGGTAAAAACCCTGGGTGTCCTGGGTGGAGGAGGACAGTATTTCCTGCCATCACCTTCAGCTCTCCAGCAAAGTGCAGATTCAGCCACACATAGAATACTTTTCTCCTCTGGGTTGGAACACAGGAAGGTATTGTTCCATATGACTGCATCAAAAGTAGAGCTGCTAGAATCTGCCTTTTTCAGTCGTCACAACCCTATCGTATTACGAAGAGATGATACAACAAAATCCCAGCAAACATTCAAAATCAGTTGCTAAACTCAAAAAAAAATTATAATTGGATGTTTGTGTGTTAAAGTCTGTTACAATATTATTCGTGATAATTTAAGTGATAACACACCCTGGCAATGAATGGATCACTTCAGGCTCTTTAAGTGGACTTTAATATATTCTAAACATGTTTCTTTGTTAAATTGAGATAAAAAGAAATTGTGCAACCAGTTGAGTTGCAACCTGTACCTACCTCAAAGGCAGGCAATGCATTAGTGACTCCTCTGGTGTTGCTAGTGTCAAAATCAAATAAAAATACATGGCATAAATATATTTACAATTCACATCATCTTATATGGCACAAAAAGTTATCATGTTACTATGTTACCATAAATTTAGGGCCACATCGTAAGTGTATATCAAGAAATGTTTTCAACTCATAATACTCAGACATGAGATCTAATGGAACAAAATTATAATATCACCTTAATTTTTCCTATCTTGCACTTGTAAATTATATTTATTGCATGTTTACAGTATGTAAGCAATATACTCTATGTTTAAACATTATTGTTTCCTTTCCATAAACTTGGTAATCTAATTATTGATGAACATTGGTTGAACAATCATGCCACCTTAAACTATAAGCCTCTCTTTGTGTGTACCAATTTTATGTCTAGCAAGATCATTCTTTCTATAGAACCCTCTGGAGCATCTATCACAAGGAAATGGTATGCCGGTTTCATGCATCTTAGCTTTGTGAAAATCCAACATTGGCTTAGTTGGAAATGCCATTGGACAACCATCATAAGTACATTTGTGTTTTTCTTTGTTTTTGTGCCGGAAACTTACATGATGAGCAAGAGCTTTTACATCATAGAAACTGCTCGAACAGAGTTTGCACTTCAAAGGTCTCTCTCCAGAATGTTTCCACATGTGGACTTCTATGTTAGCCACATTTTTTGAGCACAAATTACAATGTCCAGATTTTGGTGAATGTATTCTATCTATGTGCATTTTCAGGTTACCTTTCACATTGAAAGTTCTTCCGCATTGATTGCAGACGTAATTATTTGGTTGTGAATGGAGATGCAAGTGCTTTTTTAAATTATTTCTGTATTTAAATGGGGCACTGCATATAGGGCATGAGTATTTTTTCTCATTAGTATGAACATTATTGTGCATTTTCAATTCCTCTTTGGTGCAGAATTTCTTATTGCATATTGGGCATATGTAACTTTTGATTCCAGTGTGTCGTTTCTGATGTCGTAAATAGGCGCTTATTTGTGTGAACCTCATGGGACAGTCTTTACAGGCATATGGTGTCTCACCTGTATGAATGCGCAAATGTATCTTAACATCATTTTTTGAAAAAAATGCTTTACCACAACTCTCACAAATGAAATCACGGGATCTTTTTTGAGGATGATGATTCCGGTCTTTATGTCTTTTCAAACTTCCTTTGTCTTTATATTTTTTATCACAAGACTGGCAATGATATGGCTTCTCATTGGTATGAATGCGCATATGTTTTACTAAAGCAGAGTTATTTTCGCAAAATCTCCCGCAAAAAGGGCATTGACATTCAGTATCCCTGTCATTAGCACTTTCATTAATTTTTATCTCTTTAGTTTTGTTTTTGTAATCAGTCTTTGATTCTGTGACAGTTGACATGGCACAGTTGAGATCACATTTATTTTCCAAAGAACATTCAAAGTTATCACAGTTATTAGAATCATCAAATTCATCAATAGCTTCATGCTTAATTTCCTCTTTTATATTGATTTCAGATTTGGAACCAGAACCCTTATACAATCTCAATTTTTTATCAGAAGCTTCACATTTTAGTACGAAGTTATAGGATGCATTAAGTTCTTGTTTGCAAGCATCACAGATAAGTGTTGGCAAGCCGTCGTCTTCCGAAATACGCACATTGCTGCAGCAGAACATTATTATGTCACATATCTGTACGCCATTAGCATAGTGAAAAACATTCAAGGAGCCGGTATTACTACAACAAACACGACAAACACTTTGAAAATCCATTATTTACATATAATATAACATTCCACCAAGTTTTCTTATCAACTACTCCTCTCCCAAGGAACCCTAATATTAATAACAACATTCACATACTGTTCACATTTGCATTCCACAATTTTTTAAGTTATTTTAAAACATGTAGTATATTATTAATTCATTGAAATATGAACACTCTTGTTTTGTTGTTGTGTTCTTTAATGTCAAAATTGGGCAGTCAACGAGTCAAAGAGTACTTTTGTATATCTGCAACGAGTCAATCAACTAATGTTGAAGTGGAACTCTTTCTTTCATTTGATTGATTGTCAATCAATGACAACAGGTGATGCTGATGCTATAAAAAATAACTATGTCGACGTTTGCGGAAAACACTATTTAATTATTGATGAAGGTAATTTTAAATGGCTAATATTCCGAATAGTCCGTCTCGTTTTTCAAGCTAGAAAAAAATTTTAATCGATAGAGAAATGTTAATAATTAAATATTATATAAGTTATATTCAATGAAAACCACTAGATTATGAGGAAAAAATTAACAAAGTTTTTAAATTTCATACAACTGAAATCCGTCATTACTGTGCGTCCATTATTCATTATAGACGATTTTACGTTGTAAGAAGACACAAATACACGGATATATCACAAAGACACAAGTTTCTACTTCATGAACATGTATTATTAACAATTTCTAATATTTAAAATTTGTGACTTAGGGTATACTTAATGTCTCGAATATTAGGTTCAAAATGAGTCACAGATCCGACACAGAGCGATCCGACTCGGATAGGTTAGGTTAGGCCTTAGCCTTCGATGTTAGGTTTTTTTTATGACCACCCAGAAAACTTTAGTGTAACAGTACTTTTAGTATTTTTAAAGACTCTTTTTTAATAATGCGAAGGTTATAATTTGGAAAAGTGAGTGAATTCTTAAATTTATACATGTTGTCAAACACAAAATGGCGGATTTATTTAGTGAAAATAGCAAGTTTTAAATATTTTTTTTTATTAAAATAAAATTAAGTGTTTGCCATGGTTTTCACGTATGTAATATTTAATTATTAACATTTCTCTATCGATTAAAATTTTTTTCTAGCTTGAAAAACGAGACGTACTGTTCGGAATATTTACCCGATATGTAAAGGGCAAATGTTCGAAACTGCGGTTCAGTTTCCAACATTTGCCCTTTACACGTGCTGGTATTCACTGTTGCACGAATCGGTAGGTCCGTCCGGGAAAGATCCCACAGAAGACAGGCAAAAGGTAGAAGTATTACACTTCTGCCTGTCGTCTGGTGAGTGAGGTAGCCGAGGTCCACTTTATTTAGAGGTGGCAACGCTTCTGAAACTCTACGGGTGGTGCAAATGCCCATGGGTGGCGGTTATCACTTAACATCAGGTAAAACGTCAGCTCGTTCGCCACTTTTTCACATAAAAAAATACACGGTACAGAGGGTATGAACTATACTCAGATCGATATTAGAGATCGGAATAGTTCCATAGACGACTTAGGTTCCTGGCGTGGTTTTGTTCTCGATAGACCAGCGTTGTGCTGCGATCTGTTGAGATTCAGCCTTAGGCCAGGTGATGCGTCTGAGGACGTTCGGAACAATATGTATACGGTCTGTACTCATATAATTATATAACACAAAACTATGTGATGGTAACTATCCAAACTGACGATTTGTTACACACGCGATCTTAATCTCAATCTACACCAATCTACACATTATTCAAAAACACACTATTAGATTATATAATTATTTCAAATAAACAATGTTATTTAAGGTGTCGATTAAGAGTCAAGTGAGTTTTTTTTTTTTTTTTTTTAATGGGAATAGGAGGCAAACGAGCATGCGGGTCACCTGGTGATAAGCGATCACCGCAGCCCATGGACATTTGCAACATCGGTTGAGTCGCAATTGCGTTGCCGGCCTTTAAGGTAGGAATAGGCTCTCTTCTTGAAGGTCCCTAAGTCGTATCGGTCTGGAAATACCGCTGGCTCGGTGAGTTAGTTCCATCAAAAATGTTAATAGCATATTGAATTAAAATTCAAACATAAATGATTTTTTAGCTGTTTCTTATTTATTGTGGACTGTTTTTAAACAAGTAAAATATGATGCAAGACATGGGTTCTTAAGTTGGCCCAAAATGCAAATTATAAATTTGAACTCTTTCTATAATATCAATCTCTGCTTTTGGAACAGCATAAAACACTTTCCAAAAAAAAAAAACAATGTTTTACCGTCCATAAATCATTTATTTGTGTAAGTGTAAATTGCTGTTAGCCTGGCGGTTTTGAGTGCTTCTTTAAAAGAGGTGCCCATTATAGCTGTTCCAGGACGACGACACAGTGATGCCGTCCACCCCGCTGCATTGCCACGATTCTTGTTTACAAAAGATGGAAGTTGAACTAACAAGTAGAAACACAACATGAACCAGGAGCCTCTCAGATGCAAGTTCGATCTTCTGCTTCTACAGATATCTATCTGTAATGGATCCTATCCAGAGAAAGTAATACGGACAAACTAACATCGAACCATCAGTTATGAAAATTACTAACCAAAACGATTGATTGATGACAATTATTCGTTTATGAGAAAAAGAAGTTCAATTTTATGTTTCTTTTTATGTTTTTGATAAATACTTCCATTTTAATGTAAAAGGTTAAAAATAAATATGGTTAAACGCGTGCTTACTACCTTATTTTTATTTTGAAACGGAAAAACGACGTGATGAAGTTGGTGATTTTGTAACCAATTTCATCATGTCGCTTTTTCGCTGCCGGTGTGCGAGCGCATCGTAAAAAGTTTTTTCCAGACGGACCAGAATAAGTATAACTTCACAAAATCTATTAAAATATTGAGTTTAAAATGTATGTAACCAAAGCATAATAATCTGTCTGTTATAAAGCCACTGTACAAAAAGGTAATAAAGATGAAGTTGACAATTATCGCCCTATTACTCTGATACCTATTTTGTCAAAAGTGTTCGAAAAATGCATGCATAAAAGATTAATAGAATTCTGCAATAAATACAATATTATAACGAAAACACAATTTGGCTTCCAAAAACGAAAATCGACTACCTTAGCCATTTTCACCCTACTAAGTACAATTTTAACTAATATTAATAATAAAAAGTATACTACAGGACTATTTTTTGATTTATCTAAAGCGTTTGACTTTGTTTCGCACGACCTTTTAATAAAAAAGTTAGAAAACATTGGTATAAGAGGACAGGCTCAACGATGGATAGCATCTTACTTAACTGGCCGAAAACAATGCGTTGTTATTAATAAAATTGAAAAAAATGAGCTCAAGTCCTATTCATCTAGCTATAGAGAAAACCCTATGACTAACCTATATATACAAATGAATAATTTAAAAATTAATCTTAAAAAATCAAATTATATTCAATTTAACAAATCTAAACATGCAAAGTACAATTTAAAGTTGAATATCCCTAAAATTAAAGAAGTGCCACAAACCAAATTCCTAGGCTTAATTATTGACCAAGACCTAAATTGGACAAAACACGTAAACGGCTTATGTAATAGGATAAACCAATTTGTTTATGCCTTAAATCGAATTAAAATCTTAACTAATAAAAAGACAGCAATCTCGTCCTATCATGCCTATATAGAGTCAATACTACGGTACGGAATCATACTATGGGGTAACAGTACGAACATAAATAGAGTGTTTATAGCACAGAAGAAATGTATCAGAAACCTATGTGGTGTCCGCCCTGACAAGTCCTGTAGACAGTTATTCCAGGCCCTTGATATATTAACGCTGCCCTCGCTATACATTTATGAAATATGTATCTTTGTAAGGAAACATAAAGAATTGTTTACAACAGCAAACGAAGCCAATAACAGGCCAAAAAGGAACCAACATAGACTAGTGCTAAAAGACATCCCTAGATCTGCAAAGTATAGTAATAATTGTTCGATGATGTGTGTACGAATTTTTAATAAAATACCCAATTGCATGAAAATGCTAGATGACAGACAATTTAAAAATAAGTTATTAATATGGTTAAAAGTCAATAATTTTTACGACATCAAAGAATTTTTTAATAAGTTTTAATACCTGACATTATTTAATTAATTGTAATTTTATTTTTTCTACTTTTTATTATAAATTGTGACATTTAATTTAGAATTGACCGCAGCTGTGTTTTGTATAAATAGTAGTATTGATATCAACAATAATATTTTGCATGCTATATAAAAATTAGCATAACATGTGGTACAATATTATGATTATTAACACCTTGTGAAACCATGTTATAAGCAAATAAATAAATAAATAAAATAAATAAATAAGTATCAAGTAATTTCTTTACGTAATACTTTTACTGTTCATCACCCTCACCCACGTTCATTTAAACTTCGGGTGAATCATTCTAGTTTGCTCATGTATATAAGTAGATATTTAGCGTTCATTGTTTTTTCCTTGTATCCGTATTCTGTCCGTATAACGAATAGTGATTACCGAATCAGCCTGACATCTGTTCATACAAAATATACAAAGTATAAACAGTATTCGTAAATCAGTATCGAAACGGGCAATGTTACCGTTAACGGTAATGATAACGAATACATACGGTTCGTTCGTTGCAGCAGGTACAGCTCTTTAATTTGATATTGATGTGCCCACGAACGGTGCTCTCCGTGAGTGGCGGTTAGATATAAGTAATATAAACTGTTTATAATATAATAATTGATAAAATAAATATGTCTTTTTTTCGGTCATTAATGGTACTTTAATTGATATTGAAGTGTTTTTTATAATTAATTAAGGATAATATGGATTTGAATGTGTGTAGAATATGTATGGAAAAATCTGCTACAATTTCAGTTTTCGGCAAAGAAGAAATTCCATATAGTGTTAAAATTATGAGGTGCGTGAATATAAACATTAAAGAAGGAGATGGTCTACCGTCCATGATATGTGAAAACTGTGTAACTGAGCTGGCGATAACATATGAGTTTGTACAAAAATGCGAGACATCTGATAAAGCACTTCGCAACTTGTCGGCCGATTTTTTCGACGAAATTAAACCAAAAATTGAAATTGACATTAAACTTGAAGACATTAAAAGGGAATTGGGTGTTCCAGAATGCTTTGAGAATTACTTTTCGGACGTAGAATCCGATAAAGCTCATAATACACCTGAAGAAAAAAGTAAACACAATGAGCGGAAAAAAACTGTTAAGAAAAAATTTAAACGAGGAAGAGTTGGGCCTATACAATGTGTAGTATGTGGACTGCTTGTCACTAGCCCTTCGGCCATGCAGAATCACATGCGCACTCATACTGGTGAAAAACCCTTCGTGTGTTCCTGTTGTGACTCCAGGTTCCCGACTAAGGGCTCCTTAAAGAGGCACCATGACACCTATCATGCCGAGCGTGAACGTAAATTTACTTGCGAGACATGTGGCAACAGTTTTTTTAGAAAAAATGATATCATCACTCACATGAGAGTCCATTCCGATGAACGACCGTATGTGTGTCCATTTTGCTCCAAACGGTTCCGACAAGTGGCATCGCTAATACGTCACAAGAGGACTCACACTGGTGAAAAACCATATTCCTGCCCAATATGTGATAAAAAGTTTGCTGACAAAAATCTTGTGCGGAAACATCAAAGTGTGCACAGCGATGAAAGAAACTTTAGTTGCCACTTGTGCAATAAGTCCATGAAATCAAAGACTGCATTAAATGCTCACTTAAGCTTGCATACAAATGAAAAACAAAATATATGTAGTTTCTGTGGCATGGCATTTTCAATGAAAGGCAACTTACAAACACATGTGAAGAGAGTGCACTCTGAGAGATCTGGACAATGTACCATATGCTTGAAGACATTTTCGGATTTAGAAGTTCATATGCGGAAGCACACTGGAGAGAAACCATTCATATGTGGAATGTGTAACCAGGCATTTGCAGCTAAACGCAGTCTTGCTCATCACATGGTGTTTAAGCATGAAAATGCTTCCAAGTTTAAATGTTCAATAGGAGAATGCACTAAAACATTTCCTACAGCAACAATGCTGGAGTTCCATCTGTTAAAGCTGCACACTAATCACACGCCATATATGTGCCAGTATTGCTCCAGGGGCTTTTACCGAACAAGTGATCTCTCTCGACATCTTAGGGTCAGTCATTTAGATGTCCAAATGAAATCTACACCTCTAAAACCTGTAATACTTAAGTCATGTACACTTCAATACTCTTAATCATATAGTTAGATAGTAGTAGTTAGTTAAATAGTTGTAAAGAACTGATGTATAAATGCACTAGTCATAACTCTTGGAGTATTATCCTTATTTCTTTGAGACTGAAATATTTTATCGTTATTGTTAAGTTTAAGTTATTTTAGAGTGGGAAATAACTTCTGATGTTATAAACTATACTTAAATTTAAGAGCAATCTAGTCCTTATATCTACATGTTTTGATTTAGACGTGTAGAAATACTATTATTAAGTCCAATACCACTGGATAGTTTACTAGTACATATATATATTATAGTTTATTATACCAAAATGACAAATAGGCAATTTAATAACTAAATAAATTTATATAATTAGAAGTAGTCAGGGAAGAAAGGTTCTTGAGTGGCAGCTTCACACTGGTCATCACAGTGTAGAACGACCCCCCACTAGATGGAGTGAAGACATGTGCATGTGAGCGGGAAATCGATGGATGCAAGTGGCTTGGGACTGTGCTTCGTTGAAGTGTGTGGGTTCTGTAGTGAACTTAAACAGGCTGAGATGATGATGATGATATAAGAATTAACTTCTATTTGTTGTATGATCATATCATGACATAATTTGTAATTATATAAATCTACCTTTAGTCTTAAGATTACAGTGGGGTCAAATAATGTTTTTTTCAGAAATCTAAAGCAAAATTATGTGCATAGGGTCACTCTTGCAGCAATACATTATTCACAATATAATTTCATTTAATAAAATTACTTTTTTTGTAATAGATAATTGGTAGTCTAGTAGATTGAAAATGCTGAAATTGCATCTATTGTGGTATCTTGAATGAACATTAAGACAAATATATATTAATACTGAACATGTTGAATATCTTTAAATAAAACCCTACTGTTATTAAGCACTCTTTATCTAAATTAAACCTTGTACCAATGGGTGTGAAACCGGTAAAAATTATCCCATTTTTTTTAAAGACTGAATGAGGAAGTGTATAAGAGTTAAACTCAATTTGCACATAAAGTGATACATCCACATGATTGATAAAGTTGATATTTGTGTATTATAGAATAAAAAATAAAGATCATGCGTCGAAAATTCAAGAAAGGGTTATTTATTATATATTAAGATCCTATCGAGCTCTGCTGTTTTAGTGCTCTAGAAACTTGACTCTAACCCTGTTTATCTACAAACAACTTCGTTATTTGCGCACGTACAGCACCATTGTATAAAATTTTTAAGTGGCAGTGAGTGATAGAATACTATGCCGTATTCACTGTGCTGCTTGAAGTTGTGACGGTCGTGTTGGCAGGGTGGCTCATTGCGCGCACTTTGGATGCCCGCTGGGAAGAATAGTGGGACTGGCCTGAATTCGACCCTCAACCAGTCCCACTATTCCTCCCAGCCTCTTCCTGAGAATGACTCTCCTTGTCCTCTGCAACCGATGTATGGGAAGAGGACCGCCGGTATTTTCATGCACTATTCTCCCTACATTTCCCCCAATTACGTGGACAAAATCTTTTATGGTAGGCAGCAGAGGTATGTGGGAGTTACCAAGCGGCCGTTAATCCCCTGTTGCACCTGCACTGTCACTTTTGCCGGGGACACGAAAACGCAATCTTCCGCGAACCCCGAAGAGACTTTCTTAGGCCCCCTCTCTCCGGGTGTGTTGGACACCCGCTCTAGCTACATGGTTCCGTGTCGGTGCAATAAACACGGCACCCCACTCAAGCTGGGCAGCAGTTAGTCCCTTTCTCTCGCGGCGGCCGCCTTCCGGTTGATTATGTCCTCTCAGAGTACAAGGATGGCACCCTGCAACTTCTACACACCACAGTGTGAGCCATGGCGGGCAGCGAGAAATCGCGCCCAACGATAGCTCTCAGCTCTCGGCGCTGCTCCCGCTAGGCTGGGCAATCCCCCTGTGCATGTTGGGCCGTCCCCTCGGCACATATATTCGCAATGGTGGAATACCGCTGTAGGCTCTCTCCCATCCAAGCGGTATAGGTACCCCTCGAAACAGCCATATCCCGAGACAACCTGCGTCGCCCGGTATGTGGTTCGGTAGGTGCTGTGACGCTTGTCCAGCCAACGAAACTTGGCCGAGAGTGCTTAACACTCTACCAATTTTACGTTTATTCAAATTCAAATCATTCATCTGTAGAGGTCTGTATTTTTTAAATCTAATAAGATTTGAAACACTTGATGCAACAAAATATACGCTCGCAATTATTGTAAAACCTTGTTCCTTAAATAGAAAGCATTATAAATTTTCAAGAAGAAAACACGCCATGCCGTAAATCGGTTAATTAATATGTGGATTTACTAGACCTGAATTCAAATATAAAATATTTTTGAGGGACACTGGAGCGCAGATTAGATCCTATAAGATAAGATTAAAGTATAATATCGTAAGATAATAATAGCACCGTAGACAGAAAAAAGTTGATGGCTCCGTACGTAATAGAATTTCATCTCTTACAAAGGCAAAAGGTTACAAGAAAACTTTTCAAGTTAGAATTCTGAGTTGAACAACACAATATAGAAGTATCATCAACCTTGTTGTATCCACTTATTAAGATAGTGAATTGAGTGAGAATATATGTCAAAATATAGAAATATATTTTATAATAATTCCTCTCTAGAGCCTGTTACTATAAGAACTTATGAAGTACAATTTCAAATTTTGCAATGATATTTATTCCAAGTAATAGTCTGAAACAAGTTCATGGATAATTCAAAAGTGGATGAACAATGTGATACATAAGTCATAGCGATATGAAAGTAGAAATGCAAAATTGCGAATAACAAAAATAGAAGAGCAAAGTATATCAAGTTTGTAAAATTATGATATTGAAGGATGTATCGATAGGCATTTATAGGTTTAAGTCAGGAGAGTCAGTACGGTGAAGCAGGATATTGAAAACTGACTCTCTTTTGTGTTTTAGTTTCAGTCAGTTTGATACGGTTTATAGCTGTGCAGGAAGTGAGGATCATGTTCTATTTTAAAGTAATTAAATAGTATTAATTAAGGGAGCACAAGGCTTAGCGGTCACACGCGACTGCCCCCGAACAGTTCCCAAACATCCCCATCCTGACCAACTGGTGTCCGTCTGATCTCCCTTCCAAAACCAACGGCGCGTAAATCCGCGCTCGAATTTCAAACGCGAGTCGGTAAAGCGGCCGCGCCGCGTCGGTAAAGCAGCGCCAGGTGTTGTTATCCTTTCTCTTTTCTACAGGTAACGTCGTGCCTCTCACTCTCGCGCCAATTAGTCGAGAGGTGATACGAGAGGCCGTTAGCCCGCGACCGGCCGACGCGACGCACGTCCCGCTCCGTCAATCGTCGATTGTCCAGCGACCGCGCCAGGTGTCGGCGCCGTGATGTGTACACTTACACCGTGAACTCAGTGTCCGAACCAAAGTTTATCCTGTCCCGAGTGAAACGTTTATCCGCAATGGGTGAAGTGAGTATCCGCGCGGATTGTGGAATGCGGACGTGCTCCAGTTGGGATCGGACGCGATCTCAATCGCGGGTTCGTAGGTCGACGGCATGGGATACGGTACTCGACACTGCACGATGGTAACGTGGTCGTGGTCGGATGGACGCGTGTTTTTCTGTACTCAACGCGCCCATACGCGGAACGTGCGCGTTGAGAGCTTTTTACGAGTTGTCGCAGTGAGCCGGTCCCGGCCGAGATTAGCTGTACTGTTATACATCTGATAACGACGATTTATCATTCGATGTTGTTCGATTCGCCGCGACCGAACGCTCTTGCGAACCACTGGCCATTGTCTTATCGCTTTATGTATGAGGGCTTATAATTTTGCATTATTGGAAATTTACGATAAGGACTCTTATTAACTGCAACGCAAACAACCTACCACCCATAATCATGCTATGTAAACAGTTTCAAAACTTATGTGTGGACTTGGCCGATATTCTTGTAAAGCATTGTTAACCTAGTAAATTAGTAATGATAAATTCTTCTAGTTGATAGAGTCAGTTAATCTTAAAGAGATTGCGTTCCAGACGAGTGGTATGGTACACTAATACACTTATTGTCATACGAGAAGTGGTACTGGTGGTACCGAAATGCCAGTCGGATGAAAGTGAGCTGCGGTCAGTTGAGACATAGCCGAGCGCTGCGTAGGTCGATGAGAATTCCGCACGACACGCAGCCTGACCCCTTTGCAATGCACAGGCGAGATCTCCGCCAAATTGATTCGTTCCTCGGCTCAAATAGCGAAATCCGCGATTTCTTTTTTTCTACGAACAGCGATGACCATCGCAGAAAGTGGAGCACTTGCACATTTCGTTTATCGGAGGTGGTCAAGAAGCGACAAGCGAATTGGGGTATTGGATATACATAACATGTCGCAATCGATCCACCGTTGGTAAAAGTTTGACCTTGTTAAATCGCTAAAACATTAATTCTGTCTCCAGATACGGATACTCGATAAGTTTAATATTTATTCAGCGCAAATTACGATTGTCTATTACAATTTGGTTCATTGTAATTTGTCTCTTGCCTTACGCCACCATATATTAACATATCATAAACATAACATCAATAAATGTCACTATTTCTTGACCCGGTGTAGCATATAGTTTACCACTACTGTTAATTGTTTATGCTAATCAAGATTAAATCGCGTTCTTTGGTCCCCGACTCCCCGGTGACCTTTCGATATCTACATGCGCCTAGACTGGTGATTTAGTAGGTGTACGCAGGACACTTATTATCATTCCGGTCATAAAAACGTTGCGCAATCGTTTCTATCAATAACATTTATAGAAACAGTTGGTTTTGTATAATTTGCAATAATTCGGACTGAGTCACCGTATGTTTTAATTTATTTTACAATGACGTTTCCTCTGCGAGAGAACGACTAACTTTATAAAGTAGGTATATTAGGATTAGTCGATACAGTAAAGTTGTTTTATTTCTAAAAAAAGCTTAAATGTGTAAAGTGTAGCGTAAAAATAGACTGGTTCTGTGCGCTTTATTTTTAAGGTCAATAGAAGCGGGTATATCGTGAGTATTGACAGGCGGAGACAAGGTTTATGTGTCGTGCACTTGGTACCGATACCTACCTCTCGAGTCCTTGCTTAAGTGTGCCATTTGCCGCCTCGGCGTTGATCAATTCGAGCGAAACAAATAAAAAATGTATTACTTCAACATGGCCTATAGTCTTTCCAATATATCTACGCATACGTTATGAAGTAGCTCTTTTGGAACGACGTATAATGGACCAAAAGAGTTCAATGCGAGCATGCAACAGTACCGTGAAAATAGAATATAATCGAAAGCAGTTTCTCTTCTAGTAGTCGATCAGATACAATCTTTATTTTATTAGACACCTCCCTCAATTCCAGGCTATGCTGAAGGAGGACCCTCTAACGAGGATACAGAGGGAGATCATCGAGGTGACGGAACGCGAGCGCGAGTTCAAGGAGGGCCACTTCAGGATGAACAGACTACTGTCCGAGTCCACGATAGACGTGGCCAAGCAGAACGGCCACGTGAACGGCGACGCAGAGAAGCCCCCCAAGACCCTGAGCCGGGCGGTCTCCACGTCGCAGCTGCTGGGGCCGATCGCGCCCTCGCCGCCGCCCGCGCACACGCTCCTCAACACGAACGGCTACACGCGCCGCTTCACGCCGCAGACCGGCACCAAGGGGATCATGCAGCGGTTCATCGCGAGCAAGGGGAAGATGCCTGTCGCGTCGCCCGTCTCGCCCACGTCGCCCGTCGGCCTCCAGCCGCCGCTCACCAGCCCGGTGGCGATGCCCGCTCTGATCGCACCCGCGGCCATCACGCGCACCCCCGAGGGCAAGCCCGTGCGCAGGGGCTACGTGCCGGTCGAGGAGAAGATCCAGCGGGAGCTCCGCGAGATGAAGGACCGCGAGCACGAGCTGAGGAGGATGCGCAAGAAGCAGAGGCCGTTCGACATCGAGCTCAGCGAGGACGAGACCAGCTCGGACGAGGAGGATGTGCCGCTGCCGGGCAAGCTGAAGGCGACCAAGTCGATAGGCGAGCTTTACGAGGCCCTCAACGAAGAGCTGCGCTCGCCTTCGCCGCGCGCGAGCCCCGGCAACGACTCGCCGGCCAGCCTCAAGCCCGCCAAGTCGCTGGCGGAGCTGTGCGAGCTGGCGCCTGGACAAGAATTCCTGGCGCCGAGCTCGACGCGCCTCATCGCGCAGTGGGAGTCGATCATCCAGCAGAAGCAGGAGGCGGGCGCCGCCTAGTGTGATACCGACCTAACGTTCGGTTGTGTGCGTGCGAGATGAGATGCCAGTGTGCGGACGCTAAGTGCGCCCCACCCGTGGGGGGTGTTGTGTACGGCCGTGAGCCGTTGATTTCGCGAACAGTGTGGCCATTATCTCGCGCGATTGTCTCTGGCGTTCGAAAGCGGCTCAGACGCGACGCTGTTCTCCACGTGTGAGTAGAGTGAGTTTCATCGTATTGTTCGCGCCGCGCCATCTAGCCCCCGAAAGCCACCTTTCCCAGGCGAAGCGAGGCGGCCGTATTGTTCGTATCGCCTATTGATACGCTGTGAAACTGTGCAGTGTAAAAACCGATCAATTGGTTCTTGTCTCGCTCCCAGGACTGTATTGTCGTTTTTTGACTTGTAATAACATAGGTAACTCAGTTCGCAATGCGTCTCGTTTCCCGATTTAACTTTGTTAAAACGACTGTTACGACATTCAGTAATTTTCGCATTTATTATTTTCCCCGTTTTGGATTGTGCCCAATATCGATCATCGCCTCTTGTTATCTTTTATTTCGTGAAAATACATAGATTACATTGTGAAATATATCATACTCCTGATAGCATATTGCACACTCAAAGAAAATTAATATGATTTATGTTTTTAGTATTATTTGATCTCTGTTCGAAAATATAATATATAACTATAATACCTACTTCTTTTGGGTAATTTAAAATATGAAAAAAAGGTTATATATTTGGTCAGAGATTAAGCCATTTTTAAATTTAAATAATATACTTGAAGTCATAACAAAATCATGGTATTTTGTAGAGTTGTATGTATACGCACTGTTACTAATTGCATTTAACGGTAATAACTATTCACAATTCATATAAATTATTCGATTTATATATAGACTTACCAGGGAGTTTCGACACATTGCAGGCGGGAACAAAATTGTCAAGGTAGGTATTTACTAGTCGACTGCCAGACTTCAAAATAAATGAAAGTTTCTAATTAAATTATTATTTTTTTTTCTAAATGAATATATTTACTCCAATTGTTCATAAGGCTTCACAATTTATTTCAACATAATATTGTAAATATTTTCTTCTATTTACACAGCGTTTTATTTATTTTTAATCTGTGCAAAAAGTATATTTTTTTTAAATAATTTAATCTAATAATTGTAATTTCAAAGAATAATTATAATTACAAAGTTCTTTAGAAACGAATGTTAGCGTAAACACACTTTCTTTTGATCGTCATTTTTGGCAATTTGTAGCAAGACTATTTTGAGGTTAAGGGTTATTACTTGGGATTGTTCTTTAAGCCTTCTTTATCTGTATCTGTACTCGGTCGGTCGTTTATTACGATGCTATTTTATTGTGATGATTGAACGTTCATGGAGTTATTTAGGCGCCGTGAGAATAGATAAATATGTGATATATTAAACGTTTTCATCTTCATTGTCGCGAACAAAGAATATGCAACATGTTATAAGCGTTAGGGAAATGTACTTATCATAATGAAATATCACTAATATATATATTGAGAGTACATTTCGAAAAGTGTCAAAAAGAGTGCCTTATTTTAAATCTAAAGATCAATTTTACATTGTGGAATTTAGTACAACATTTTTATACATTTGCCCAATATTTAAAAAGTGCATGTGCGTAAAATACATTTTACACAATGACCGTTGTTAAAATAACTGTTATAAAGTCTGCAAAATTTATTGTCGTAAAAGGTATAAATAGAACTGAGATTTTTATTAGGACTTATAAGCACCTTTAGCGTCCTCACTTAGAATATTACTGAAATAATTTTTATTTCTAGCATAATAGTTAAATAGTCAATTTAAATTTATTGTTAGTAGTAGTAGTATTTAATGTAAGTTATGGAAAATGTCTGTAGGCAAACTTTGGTGTAAATGTTTGATATATGTGTTACTTTTTATTTAATCTGTGCCAGAGTTTTCGATATACATTTCAAAACATTTTGTTAAAATTATATTGGTCCAGCTACTAAAATACGAACGTTGACACAATCGTACTATATTTTTATGCTGAACTAATATATATTATTTATGTTAATGTATACATTATACTAATGATGTGATATGAGGATGCCTAGAAAGTTGAAAAATATCTTTTGTATTATAATGTTAAACAAACGCATGGCCTAGCTGTTTTCAATGTACGTTACACAAAGAAACGTGAACTTTCTACTCGTATATTTACAAATTCTATATTTATATTGTGGATACTAGATGAAATATTAATTTATGTTAAATTAAGGTTTTGCAATAAATTTGGTGTCAAAATCCAATGTATACAGTTTTTTATTTCACAATCACATGAATGATGCAAAGAATGCCAACTTGAGTGCATTTGGTGATTCCAACGTTGAGTTGTATTCTGTAATTACCGCTTTTCAGGCTTTACTGATTGCTTCTCCGAAGCGAGTGTATTTGGGATTTTTCTCTATGTCATAGAGAGCACAAAACACAAGTTAGAGTAAGTAGTGAACATGATAGATTTTTTCTCTTTTGCCCACGCTTCTGGATTTGAAACTCACGCACTTACTTTTCAAGTTCGTCGTCTAGTCACTAGGCTATCGCTGCTTCAGTTGCAATGATGTCTTAATAAATATGTCGCATGTCCATACTGCGCGGCGTTTAAAAATTGTTCCGATTTACATTATATCACATATACATTGTATAAGGGAATGTGACAGATGATGTAGAAATACATTCTATACGGAAAGAGACATTGGAATTGCAATTTATTTACACTAATTGGCGTTATTTGAGTGCCTTCGTTTCGGTGCGCTAGTGTTATATCTACGTCGTATTTTTATATAACATTATTGTCCAGTAGTATACTGCATAACTGTTTTGCTCATAATTATTTGTACGAACTTTACGACGCGAAATGCAATCATCACAAAGTCTTAATTTTTAAAATAACACGTCCTATATAAATTTCTTTGTTCGTAGGGCGTCGTAAAATAAACCGGTGGTCGTTAAGAGAGTCAGTTAGCACAATAAAAAACAAGGAAATGTTTCTGAGAGATGCCATTAACGTCAACGGGGGTCTGTTATATGGAGCAGTTGAGGACACTGACACGCTAAGCAACTAGGCAAACCGAATCTAGTACCAACGGCCTGGCGACGCCTCTCTAAACATCTAAGCAAACTCAACATCCGCCCAGTGGAGGAGACTGCGTTTCGAGAACTGTAAAATCCCACGTAGAATGGCTAAATTGAAGCAATAAAAGAGATTGAAGTGTTATCTTATATCTATGCTTTTGAATATTCAACCTGTGCACATAGATACTGTTTGTTGTGTTGCGTTCATAATGTTTGTGTAAAATTGGTGGTCTACTACACACACAAGGGCCGTTCTGTCGTAACACATCCACTGCTTACTGTCACTTTACTGGTCTTCTACATGAACGTATATAAACACTATAATTCGTGTTTTAAATTATAATGTTTTTTTTTAAATATTGCTCTTAGTGTAGGATACCATCTCCTGTGCTATGGATGTTTTACATCCTTAAATTTCACGTGGACAAACACCCAAAGCGGACACAATTATCCGTGGGCCACACAAACAGTTGTCCCGTGTAGACATCGAGCCCACGACCCCCGACGGCGCTGAAGCCAATACCTGAACAACTGCGTCATGCAGTCATGAAATGATAACCTAACGAACCGGGTATCATTCGCCGAAGGTATTCATCATTGCAAGTCATTTTATTCTGAAATCGGTTTGATTGTGTAGGTTCACTGTTACAATAAGGCAAACTAACATGTACGTACTGAATTTAAACAGCTTGTTAATAGAATGGTCTTAGACGTTATTTATAGTGTAAAGTTGATTAAAGAAAATATTATTTTTATTAACAAATAAATACTTTAAAATATTTGGTTATCTTTCGTCCTTGAGGACGTAATCTTCGTAAAAATGTCTTGATTAATTTTGATAAAGTATTAAGGGTGATATGGTGCGCCAGCCATAAATAACTTTCAGAAATTATATACATGTAATATTATAACTATTCCTCACAGGGCCGGATTTAGGGGAGGCCAACCGGAGCAACAGCCCCAGGGCCTCCACAAACGAGGGGCCCCCACAATAGAGACTTCAGAAAAAATTTCAAATTCAGACTAGTAAACAATAATAAACAACTTTTTATTTCATATTTTTTTCATCTCTTACTTTTACCTGCCGTACTTTGTACAAACAGGATTACATTAAATATTAACAGAAATCAATAGAAAATAACTTGGGGCCAAGGGGCCTCCAAAACTCTAAATCTGGGCCTGATTCCTCACGAATTCATCTTTTACGATTCATCAAATCATTTATGTTTCTTAATGTAGATTAATAATGTGCATAAAATATTTCGACGTTGTGCTGTGCACTTTAATTGAATAGAAATTCAGTTCTGTGATCGACGAAACTTTCCATATTTCCTAGGGCTGTAAGGAAGAGTATCAGCCGACAAAGATAAAATATAAAAAAGCCCGAAATGAAGTGGAAGAGTTATTTATACTTTTGCGTTTCGTCTGGTGAGTGAGGTCTGGGGTCCTCTTTATTAAAAAGTGGCAACGCATCTTCAACCCTGACTGATTTTGCAAATGTAACTTACCATCGAGTGGCCCACAAGCTCGCTTGCTATCTTCTTACATATAAAAGCTTCATACGGACGACTTTAATACGGCCCTCTTATATATTTATTAAATGTGTTTATGAATATCTTTACTTAACGGTGGTAGGGCCACGCAGCAGCCTCGGCTGATGCACGAATGGGCAGGCTCGTCCAGGTAAGTACCACGACCTCACAGAAGACCGGCGTAAAGTGGAAGTATAATACTTTCATGTTTCGTCTGGTGAGTGAGGTGGCCGGAGCCCAATTTCCAAAAAGGTTGTCAACGCATCTGCAAACTCTCGGGTGTAGCAGATGTCCATGGGCGGCGGTATTCACTTAACATCAGGTGAACCGTCTGCTCGTTCGGCAAC